TACATACATACATACATACATACATACATACATACATACATACATACAGACATACATACATAAGTATATATATATAAAATATGCGTGAAAATTTATATATGCGTGTTATGTATGTGTAATTTCTTTTACAAGTGAACACGAACAGATAGCCGCTTTTTGACACGAACGACATACCCTTAATATAGAGCCCAAGCTTTCGGAATTCAGCAGTGTGTTGTTGCCAGTCTGATTTGTGTCATAGTTTGCACCTTGCATTTGATTGTTGTTCTCGTTGTTAAAGATGTTGTTATTGCAGTTGTCGCGATTGCCGTTGGCACTACTACTGATACTTGCATACGGACTCGTACCATTACCATCCCCAGGGTGGTTTACTTGTTGTTTGGTGTCACTGTTGTTGCTGTGATAACTGCGGAAATCGTTGTTGTTATTGCTGTTATTGTTGACGTTGTTGCTGTTGTTGTTATGTGCGTCGTTAATGCCCATGCAATTACCACTGCTCCTGGCCTCAGGGTTGCGAGTGCCCAGGTCATTCTCATTATTGTCATTGTAGCTATTCTCAATTCCCTTCCCGCTATAACTCGTACCGAAAGTGTCATCGCCGCTATAGCTAGCATGGCTGCTGTTGTCATTGGCGTTGTAACTGTACTTGCTACCGTTACCGCTGAAGATAGAGTTATTGCCATTCCCATCTCCGTTACAATAGGCATTGCTGGGATTACCGTTATAGCTACTACCACCACTGTCACCATAGTTGCTCCCGCCGCCATTGTAGTTGCTACCCCCGCTGTAACTGTTTTGGCTGACACCATTATTACCACGGCCGAGATTGGGGTTGTTACTGAAGTTGCTGCCATGGCCGGTGCTGCCATTATTATTATTATTGCCATTATTATTGTTGTTATTATTGTTGTTGTTGAAGCCACCCATGTCCATACCCATTCTGTTTTGTAAAGTATCCATTGGCAACATCCGAAATATTCCACTCGTGTTGGCAGCCCACACATCGTTGTTGAAATCACGGAAGAACGCGGAAACCTGAAGTGGAGGGGCAGCACAATCAGATGAGATGTAGCTGGAACATGGTGAAGTGAGTGTTGCACATGCCATTGCATGTTGTTCTGAGTCAAAGTGAAGAGCATGTGCGTATGGGTGAACACCCTGTTCATACAAGTGTATTACAAGTTTATGAGTGTAAAAATTTTGTATGTATGAACAACATGGTTGTGTGAGGAAGTGACATCTCAATATATATA